AAAACAGAAGGAAAAAGTCTGGATGAAATTTTATATGCAAGGAGTTAGAAGCTACATTATATTTATGAATAATTCAAGTAATATAAAATCTAAAATGTCCCTTCAATTTTTATTTTAAAAAATAATACATAAACAAATTAATTAAGTTCAATTAAAATTCACATATAGATATAAATATTTAAAAAAAAACTCTTGCAAATTCAGCTCAGTTAAAAAAAATATATAATTTTACAAATTTCAACAAAACATAACTCCTACCAAAAGCTGCCAAATTTTAAATCCAAAAGGCATTATTTTCTTAAACTTTAAAATTAATATTAAATTTGTCATTATAATTTAATAAAATCCTAAACTTTGTGACTTAGAATAACCTTCCAATTTCTGAAAAACATATTTAGAAAAAAAAAACCCCCCCTCGTATTTACAACAAATTTGAATTTTGATTGCACAAACAAAAGTATAATACAACAGAAAATTGCAGTGCAAAATCACAAAAGAAAGGCAGTTGCATAAAACCCATGCACTCTATAAAGCCCAAATTCTGCAAGCAAAATAATAAATCACTTTTGATTAATAATCCTCCAGCTCCATTAACCCTCGCAAGTCATTTCTCCTTCTACAGATCTTTCAAACCTCCAATTCTACTGCAGCTGCAACCCTACAAAAACACAATTTTATAATAATAACCCAAACATTGAATGAAATAATAAAATATTAAAATAAATAATCAATTTTTATATTACATGCATCACAAAATAAATTTAAAATTTTGAGCTAATTCTAACAAAAAATGAGAAAATAAAAAATGATCATATATCTACAGAACTGGAGGGGTACCCTATAGATCCTTTCACCAAATCCACCAAAGTTATTGAGAAGAAAACTTCCCAGATAGATCAGCACAAACACTACTAATAATTATGATGTTTACAGAGCGCATCCAATTATCATCAATCATTGGTCTTATACATCTATAAGGGGCCAGGCATCATTAATCCAAAATTTCAATAACTTACTTATAGCGACTACGATTCAATTCTCCCAACAACCAAAACACAGTTATTTTGTGCGGACGCCGACGCCGTTCGGAGACCAATCAGAATGCATCATGTCACCACTGTGCTCGGTACCGCGGCTCCGTACCGCTCAGTGCTAACTTGGCAGTGCATTCTGGTTGATCTCCAGATAGCATTTTGCGTCCAGTCTCCACAACCAGGGCCTGAAAAAAAAATTGGATAAGAAAACCAAAATGGAATTTTCTGTTGTGACTCAGGTTTAGGACTATAACAAAGTGGATAATTCAGACATATCTAAACAAGGGAGATTTCCTTATTGTATTTCTAACATCTAAAACCCAAACAAGTGACCTGTAAGAAATTGCTACGTTCAATTAAATAAGCAATCTCGCTACTGGCTATAGCAGATTTTAGCAGTATGATTATATTGCAAAATGTCAATAATTCTCAAATTAGTTACAAAAATTTGTTTGGCAGTGGAAAGAAAATTACAAAGGCATCAGTATCAAAGATTTAAAACTTCTGGAATTGAGGAAGAGAATACCTGAAGAAAACTTTACTGTGTTAGAAAGCATGGCAAGTAAAGCATCCTCGAAAAGAAGACATTCGACCGTATTTTCTTAAGTATGAGACCCTTCGGCCAGTCCTGGGAACCATGTAAACCTGTCGATCGACCACCGAACTTCGCATATCTTGCGCCTTTCTCTGAGCTGATCTAAGCCTATTCAAAATCTTTTCCATTGAGGAAGACCTTTTCTTTTCCAATTTCATCTGATGCCAGAAAGTCAAAAGATCACCTTACATACATTTACTCCCAAATTCATATTTCATCAAGTAAAAAGTTGTGAAATTGTAAAATGTTGACACTGAGAAATAACTCACTTCAAGTTTTTGCAGTGCAGCCTCAGCTTTTGCTTTCTGCAGGTTCTCCCAGGCAGTAATCTTAGCTTCCTCCCTATCATATCTATGTACCAAAGGTGAGGAATAATTTAAATCCTTCATTAAATTATTGGAATGGCATATTAAGCACTATAGTTTGATTAAATTATACATACAATGAAGTTTACCTACCAAGTAAAATTAAGCAGATCTAATTGAGTATTAGGTGAGATGTAAATATCATAACTTGGAGCAAATAATATAAGCTTACTTTGATATGCATTTCTCTGTGCCTATAACTTCCCAATCAGATGTCCTAGACTCTAATGTTTTCCTTTTCCATTCTATAATATCAGTTGACCTCCTATCAGAGCACCGAGAAATATGTTTCTTCGACCACCTCGTTACGGTGACTCGGTCATCCACCTGCACATCTCTGATCTCTAGACATGGAAAATTGCTCTGCATTTCTGTAATTGTATGAACAAATAGTGGAGACTGGGATATAGAAGAAGGCCTCTCGGCCCTCTCCTTGGGGGAAGACTGAGTACTTTCATCGGGACTCATCTGTGTTCCCACATCTCTGCTTGAAGTCATTGGAGATGCCATTGTGGCTATTTCCTGAGCCCTATCAAAAAATCTATATCCTGAAAATTTTGACAAGAGTTGAGAGTTTAAGGTCAACTAATACTGCCCACAAATTTATTAAAAATCTTAATATGAAATGGATTTTCAATTTTGAAAGAGCAATTAGATGACCTTTGAAAGCAACTTCAGGTGGCAATGAGGTAGATGGCTGCACCGACAAATCAAGACACGCATCCATGCTTGCGGATCTATCTATATGAACCTCAGACTTATGAGTACCAAAACTTTCTCCGCCGTTAATACCACACAATTCCTGATCAGTCATGAGAACCCCCGCCAGAAAAGGAGAACTGCCTGCGAAATTCACAACTCTTCCATTATCAAAGCAAGGGATCTGAGGCGATGCCAATGCATACGAAGAACCACAGGCTAACACAGGAGCTCCAAGAGGTCCACTCTTTGACTTCGGCCGCCTATGATAAGGTGGAAGCACCACAGGTCTCTTTGAACCATCACCAGAAACTGGACTACAAATCCACCTCTCAGCATCCTCCCACTTCGATGGCATCGTTCTCCCGTTATTAAAAGGGAACAAAGGAGCATTTCCACCATATCTTTGACCACGGCTTGCCGGTAGCGAAACCCGTTCCGAACTCCATCCTTTCTGATAAGAACCAACTCCAACATTACTGTGCCAGTAATTTGGTGTTCCAGGACTAGGAAACATATTAGATCTACTATGCATAGCCGGAGCGCGACTATTCTTCATATAAGCAGTGCCACCATTTAAGTTATGGAGTGATGAAGCTCCCACATTTTGTCCATGGACATTCAAATCAAGTGATCCAGGCCTCCATCTTCGATGCCCACCAGGAGAAGAAAGAGACTCAAAAGTAACCCTCTGGTTGTGGGAATCTTCTACAAGATGTATATTGTAGAGTTCAATCATTAAAAGCTATTGAAAGAGCTTACGCTAAATCAAGTTCATCTCTAACCTCTAGGATTGTGAGAAACCGTATTGCTAAGTAGAGGATCTATGGTTCTCCCCGCCTGTTCCAGCTCTCCATCTTTCATTATATCCAGAGGTTGAACCGTACAAACCAACCAAAAATAAAACTATTCAGTATCATTTTCAACTACTCAGCATCAGAGCGAAGAACATGTCGGCTAACAGGGATAGAGCAGCAATAGAGCTAAAGTATACAGGATTCTGATACAAAAAAAAAAAAAAGCTTTTGGTAGGATAGATGTTGATAACGGTACCAGGAGAAGATGCTCTTGTCTCTGGCCCAGGGTCAAGGCCTGGAAGAAAGGACGGCTCCCGTCCGGCCAGATTCTGCATCACATCAAGTAAGATTGACAAATCTCAAAAAACGACAGTAAGAAATAAAAAATTCAAAAAAAAAAAAAACACTTTGAAAGACAGTGTACAGTGGCTGTAGCCCAGCATTGGCTTCTCTTTCTCCAAAGAAAAATATGAGTTCTATTCCATCCCAAAAGAAAATTATAAAAAAAAAAAATTACCCACATATCATTAAATTAAATTCCTATGTATTAAATATCTAACATTAATTTTTTTAAAAAAATTATATAAAACAAATCTCCTATATAATGCACATTTTAAGGTTAAAAAAACTATAATTTAAAAAAAAAAATCAAAAGCCCCAATTTGATTGATTTTTGGAAGTTGTAAGGTATGATTAAGAAATAGTTGCATCAAATAAATTCATATTTAGGTTATATGTAATCAGGAACATCAAATTTAAACTCCACTGGCTCACAAAAAAAAAAAATTTAATGATCTCAACTCGCCACATAAATTCGCAAAAACTAAATAATTATTTTCTGAAACTTGCTTGCATCAACTAATTGATCCCTAATCAGTTTCCCCTTTCCATAAAAGATTTATAACTTCTCATTTAGACACACCCGTATCAATGCCCACAAATGCAGTATACTACTTAAAAATTTTCCAGTTCCGAAACCAGAAAAGTAGTAAAGAATCTGGAATGGGATAGGAGAGAGAGAAAATACCGTTATGGAAGATCGCGGGCTCGGAGAAAGAGCAGACAAATCAGATCCAAAGGAGAAGCGGCCGCCGAAGCTTCCCGGTGCAGAGGAAAACCAGTAAGACTCATCGTGGAAGCTACTGTCGTCGATTGAAGAATGGCCGGAGGAGTAAAAGACGTATTCATCGTTGCCGCCTTCCCTTCCTCTCCTCCTCCTCCGGATACCCCATCTCGAGCTGAGCTTTCCTCTCCTCCTCCTCCCTTTCTCCCCCTTCTCTTCCTCCCCCTCTGCTCCAAACCCTAACCCTAACTCCGCCATTCTCGACCTCCAATGTCCCCTTGCTTCCGCAACCTGAGAGCATGAGCTTAATAGCTCCTTTTTAACTGCAGGTATGGCGGGTGAACCCACAGGTGGAGTTCTAAATGACGAAAATACCCTTCATATAATTTTAAAGCACTAATTTTATATATTTCAATTATAAAAAAAATATTATTATATTTATTCATGTAAAATAAAATATACATTATATTTTTTATATAATTATATATTAAATAATATATAAATAAATATAAATTTTAATGATAAATATAGAAATATTTGGTGGTGAGATGAGAGGGACGGAGAAATCAGGACCTCCGCCTGCTACGGCCTGCGGGTCTCACTGGGCCAGTCCAACCCGTCCAAGTCCTATGGATCCTGTTACAATAATCCGCAGCACAAATTATGAAAAGGAATTCCAAAATGTAAACGCAACGTGTACAGCCTGATCGCCGTAGATGGACAAGGGCTACACCCGCAGTGATTCGTCTTTCGATGGACCTCGGCATATCGTAAGTATTCGGCGGCCGAGCTAGACCGCCGATTCGTTTATTATTGCCGGTTCGTGGAACGAGGAAGTTGGGACCGCGTCTTTAAACGTGCTCTTCCGTGGGACCCACGATGATGGGCCACTGCTGGTTTGCTATTTTCGAAGCCGAAAAACGGTCCGACTCGGCCGACCGGACGGACTTTCGGCGTATCTACCCCGGTTCGGTTCAGCGCTTCACGTGAAAGCGACACAGCAGCGTCTATTTTGTCCCAGGTGCAGCAGGCTTTTAGTTCGGCTACATCCGCTGAAACTTTCACACAGCGAACGTCAGTACTTGACGAATAAGAGCCAATAATTAATCCGATTTTTTATCTACGGAATAAGAATAACGTTATTTTAATAAAATATTGAGAAATACAACTAAATACTATAAAATAGAGGCGGTTTGATAAAAATATTTAGAATTATAAATAAATATTCAAAATTAGAAGGAATTTTTTAAAATAATAAAATATATTAGTTATGTATTAATAAAAAAAATTATAATGAAAATTTTATTTTATTATTTTAATAGAAATTACATATAATTTCATTGAGATGGGATCTCTCACTTGAAGGACAAACTCTAATCTCGTGAAGATACTTTATTTTTTTTTTCTCTATACACAATGGGTTTAACAGAAAATTTTATTACATATGGTGTTTAGGCACGTCTGGACGTCCGGATGTCAATCCCCAAGCATCATGTCACCCAATGCATAGTGTATTAGATGACGTGGTGAGTCTGAATTGTCCCCCGGACGTGTTCGAACACCGCACAGAATAATCTCTCATTTACAAGAGAGAAAAAAATCAACTGTTCGAATGTGTTTGGACTCCGAACAACATCACAACCCCCAATAAGTAATAGTTTTTCTACTTAAAGATCAAAATTGCAACTCCTTAATATAGGAAGTTAATTATTATAATAAAAGCTAATAGATGTTGCAAATGAGGCCAAGCAATAAATAAAGACAGGGGCTTAAGTTTCTAAAAATGTAATGCTTACTTTTCGGAAGATATAAGTCTTTCACCTAATTAATTCCCCCTTCTACATTCATAAATGAAATTCTTCCATCTTCAAATAAATTTATATTTGATACATCATCATAATTATACCTTCTTTAAATAAATTTTATTTTGTTGACATAAATTTTGATGTGATTTTTCATATTTTTAAATATTTAGAAATTTTAATCTTAAAGATAGAGATAATTATGAAATTATCAAAAAATTTTCATTAAATTTATAGTTGAAACAAATGATTCAATTAGCCTAATCCAACAATATTAAGATTTTTTCGGTATATGTCCAAATGGGTAGTGATACTTCACTAGAATATTTTTTGGATTAAGTATGAATCTCGAGGAAAAATTTGAATTAAAAATTTCTATAAGTAAATTTAGGATTGTACAAGAACATCAAGTCTTTATCCCACTATGTGTGGTTGGCTGCATGAATCTTTTTTTCTATTGTCTTATTAAGAGTCAAATTATCATTTAAATGTAATAAAAATGATCATTTATAATACTTTCTAACCAAAATTGAAAGCTCATATAAGTATATTTAAATTATTTAAACTATGATTTCAACATTTATAGTAGATGTAAATTTGAACATCTCAGTGAGACAACTCCAACAACAAAAAAATGTTTCAATTTGAGTCTGAATGAGCTCAAATAAAGCACTTAAAACATAGTTCAAAATTCCCTAATATTAATTGAAGGCTAATAGAGTCTTCAAATATTACATGCTTATAATTAAAAAGAGTGTCTTGATAAAAAGAATCCAACAAATCTAAGATTGCATAACTTTCAGGTCATTAAGACACTTAAAAACTAAAAGAATGGGATACCATCAAGGGAATCAGGACAGCCCATTTAGTGGAGTATTTTGCTTATTTACTTTTATTTATAAAAAATGTTGATACGTCGTCAAAAATTTATTTTAATTGGGTGCTAATCTCGAGGCAAAATCATGCCCGAAACTTTAAAAATTAAATCCGGGATCACTTGAACTCTAATTTTAGCAAACTTAAAGTCAAACTGAGCGCCTCGAAAATACGAACCCGACGACACCAAATTCAACTCTATCCGAGCCCAAATGAGTCCAAATTAAGGACCTGAAGCGCTGTTGGAAGCTTCGTACCACAGTTTGAGTGACCAAACGGTTTTCAAACTTGACGAGCTTATAGTCGAATCGAGTGGCTCGACGAGACAAATCCAACGAGCCCAATATCTCCATATTCCGACATCATGAAGGCCTTCAAATATCTAAAGAACTGTGCATGATCAAGGGATTCAATATCGACCATCCATCCAACCACTCCCCATTTGCCCTTTATCTCTCGCCTATTTATGGGTCATGCCACTCCAGAGAATCTATAAATAGACCCATCATTTCTCTTTAGAGTGGGACCCAAGCTAGAAGAGAAGAAGAGAAGAGAAGGAAAAAGCTCCTCCTCGACCACGCCGGTACCTCGCCGGACCACTGCCCGAGCCTCGTCGGACCACCACATGAGGCCCTCACCCTGCTGGAACCTCGCCGGACCACCACCGGAGCCTCGCCTGATGATTGTCGGAGCCTCATCGGACAACTGCCGGAGCTTCGCCGGACCACCGCCGGAGCTTCGCCGGACCACCACCTAAGGCCCTCACCTTCGCTAAAGACCCTCACCTTTGCCAGACCACCATATGAGGCCCTCACCTTCGTTAGAGGCCCTCACCTTCGTCAGACCACGACTTGAGGCCCTCACCTCCCCCGGACCACCGCCTGACATTGTTGCTCCACGGGACAACCACTTGAGGCCCTCACCTTCGCCGGACCACCGCTTGACGCCGTTGCCCGCCGGACCACCACGTGAGGCCATCACCTCTGCCAGACTACCACTAGAGGCCGTGTGCTCCACCAAAACATCACCTGAGGCCCAGACTTCCGCCAAACCACTACTTTAGGACTTGAGCTCCACCATGCCACCACCTGATGCACAGAGTTCTCCCAGAATACTGCCGACTATGATCCTTCAGACCTTCGTCACCTACTACGGTCCTTCCGACCTCCATCACCAGACAAAGGTCCCAGTCTCCTACCGACTACGATCCTTCAGACCTTCATCGCCTACTATGGTCCTTCCGACCCCCATCAACAAACAACGGTCTTTCTGGCCCCAATCTTCTACCGACTACCGTCCTTCTGAACTCCGTCGCCTACTATGGTCCTTCTGACCTCTATCACCAGACAACAGTCTTTTCAACCTCTATCCCATCAACTATGATCCTGCCAACCAAACAAACATATCCATGTAATTACCACCATGTAATGTGCTATATATGAAGAATATTTGTATCATCAAGCCAAGGCTTTCTTCCAAGGAAAGGCCTCATTTATAATCGACTGCAAATACTAGTTGATTCATTCAATCTGGGCCAGGCCCTGTGATTATTTCCCCTTTTAGGGGTTTTCCACGTAAAAATCTAGTGTCTCTTATGAATGTTACACCCTCTCACTTATCTAATTATGTGCTGGATCTTCATACAATGCTAAGACATTAAACTATATATTTCTCTACCGCCGCGAATACTTCTGGATGCAACAGTTTGGCACCGTCCGTGGGAAAGTGATTCCCGACTGGGGGGAAATTATTGCTCCAATCACAAAAGATCGCCCTTATCAATGTCATAAGAATCAGATGTGAGCTAGAGGACAACTTTGACTCAAACTATGATTAAGAAGATCCCTCCAATGTTTCAATATCAAGATGATGTTTCAGAAAAATCCCAGCAAATTCAAAGATACTTTTAATCGATACAGTCCCCTGCTATACTTCTACTCCTTGGACAAAGTCTTAATCTCAACCTCAAAAAGACAGTAACGATCTAAAAATAGATCATTCTTTGCCTTTGATTCAGGATATACGCGGCGTTATCCCCCTCCCAATAAAGGCAAAATTAATCTCAGGGGGGTCCGATTCGACCTCTTCAATACAAGTTAACTTCATCGAGCAAGGCTCTAACATACAACCTCGGATAGGTCCTACATCATTAGTGGATTCTCTCGACCTCTTCCATACAGGTTAACGTCGTCGAGCAAAAGCTCTGACATAAAACCTCGGATAGGTCCCACATCCTTGGTGAATTCTCTCAACCTCTTCCACACAGGTTAACGTCCTCGAGCAAGGCTCTGACATATAACATCGGATATGTCCTACATACTTGGTGGATTCTCTCGACCTGTTCCACACAGGTTAACGTCATCGAGTAAGGCTCTAACATACAACCTCGGATAGGTCTTACATCATTGGTGGATTCTCTCAACCTCTTACATACAAGTTAACGTCATCGAGCAAGGCTCTGACATACAACCTCGAATAGGTCCTACATTCTTGGTGGATTCTCTTTGCCTCTTCCATACAGATTAACGTCATCGAGCAAGGCTCTGACGTACAATCTCAGATAGATCCTATCTCCTTGGTGGATTCTCTTGGCCTCTTCCACACAGGTTAACGTCGT